GTCCCTTACTACAGTCTTACTGTCCCGCTGGACACAGTTAAAGAAATGCATTCTGTTTTTCAATACACCCCAGAACATCTTCCCGAGGATTTGGGCTCAAGGTTTGCTCCGTCTCTGTCAAGTCACAGTTTACAGACTAGTTCAGACTTCCAGATGCCCCTAAAATGAAATCCCACTCAGTTTTTTTTTTTTTAAATGGTAGCTGACAAATAAAGACTGAAAGTTTAGCATTGTAGTGTAAGAGATTATCATAAAGCTTTTTTTTTTTTAAATTGCTTTATGGTATTTAATAAAGACATCTATACATCCAGCATGAAGATGTGGAATATGGAGGCTAGATCCAAACAATTTACCAAAATTTAATAAATTGAACCTGAATTTTTTTAAGACTAATGTTTATTTTTCTATCCTGCTCCTATGATACAGCTTCTGAAATTTAAAGATTTGTTGACATCTTTGGCATTTTTAAATTAGGCAGACAAACAGCCCCATCTGGTTAAATACATGGAAGATTATTTTCATTTTTTCGGGTATTTTGCATATAAAATAATAAATTAATTGTACACTCAGAGCTGAATAATATTTAAATTTTGGGTGAATTTTTCAAGACAAAAGCAAACGTCATTGTTTATGAATAACCATGCCTATTAGAGAACCGCGTGGTTTATGTTACGCTAAAATTTAAATCAAAAATTGGTTTAAAACACAAAAACAACAATATGATTATGAATTAATGAGCTGCGTTTGATAACCTTTGACCCCAATATGAATGAAAGTTGATATTCTTATGAATAAATGGAGCAGGCGTTGGCAGGTCAGGTGGCTTGTCAGATCCGCATGATCAACTTTTTATTAAATTCTTAAATAAATCATTATTAAACACATAATTAAAAGTCATACGTGCAACATACAGGGCGTAGTCACATCAAGTGGAATAATGTTGTTTTTGTAGATTTAAATGAAGCAGAAGTGTTTCTAACCGGGCGCCACACGGAGCTTCAGCCCGCCTCTCTCTCTGCGTCACTCTCTCGCTTAGGGAGGCGCCATCTTTGTTTAGCGGTTGCTAACACGAGCTAACCGCTACTTGTAACGATTTACGACCAGAAATCGGTTTTAGCTGACCGGAGGTTGCATGCGGTCGTTTTTTACAACATCACCAACAAGCCTCGGTGCCAAAAGATGGTAAAAGCCAAGTACTTTGCATTCATCGGCTTACCTTCGTCCCCGCAGCCCGAGCAGGTCTTCCTTCCTCGGATGCAACGTCGTTTTTGTAGCATCCCCAGTAACTGCCACTGCAGACACGCTCTAAAGCCCGCCCACTCTGCGCTGATAGGTTGAAGTTAACGGCATTTCATTGGCCAATCCAGGTGCCAATCAAGCACTTCGAACGTTGCAATTTTTCTTTTCCACCCACAATATTGCAGCAGTTTGTTTATACAAAATTCAAGTGCGAAGGTCGTTTTCTTAAAATATTTATTGACTTTTAATTGAGAATAAAGCAACCACATTATATCAAAAGAACAGTGTTCACATATAACCTTTAAACAGAAAACAAAAAAAATCCCAAAACGTTTCATTTCCAGACCTGAGTGTCACTAAAAACACCAAGACATGAAAAAAACACAACTTATTATAGGTATGTGATTTTGCATTGTAAGGTTGCATGAGTGTCTTCAAATTGTATTTTCTCCTCACATGTGGGTTTGTTTTGAAATGTGTGTCCTTTTCCTCTCACAGCATAGCGTTAATACTTTAAATCGGAAGATTTTTGTCCAGATCAAATAAAAACAATTTCCTAAGGTATAATGATATATTGGACATCTATTCTAATAGTCTAACCAGTATACATTTAACACTTTGTCAATTGCATTGTAGGCAAAGCTACAGAGATAAATATTCAGTGCATTTACCGTTTCCCTGTCACAACCAAGAGTTGAGCAAGTAATAAAACCTCTGCTGCCTGAGCAAAGAGCCGGACTCTTTCAGCTTATCGTCCATATATAATCAAGGGAACACATATTTTACAATTGTATGGCTGGTTTGTTGTACTGCATTACTGTGAACTGCCCTAAACACACAAGTTTTAGATTAGAAGCATAAAAGAAAGCAGATAAAGAGCAGTAATACTACACAATCAAAACCATATAAAGCTCAGTATGAATTCAATGTACAGATGAGATCCGATTCCCCTTCGAACAAAGGCCCCAATTCCACTTTTTTTTTTGTTTTTTTGTTGCTCAAATACAAATCCATCGTTAAGAGAAACTATTCAGACTGTGTTTCACTTCATCTTATGACCATGTAGTGGAGGTATGTCAGAAGCCGGCCTGCTGCGTGTGATTTTACACAACATAAAAACACGCACAAACAACTTTTGATTGATCATGGCTTGTTGATGGCTTAGGAACAACAAATCTGACAATGTAGCTTGAAGGTTATGGAGTCAAGAGACATAATAAAATATGATTAAATCTCAGACCAGCATGAAAGGACAGGTTGTACAGAGGTTAAACACATTTAAAACACCGCCAAGAAGGAAATGCACAAATGAAAGACGACTCTAAACACAAACAGATGTTCGGTTATTCTTTGATATCGTGTGTTGTGAGTACTTAGTTGTATGTTTTGCTCGATATGGTCACAACAAAGTAACAGCAGAAGGCCTTTTTTTTTTGCTTTCACAAATTCATACAAACGACACAGACCTGCATGACCAAGAGTCAGTGGACACTGCTACTTTTTATTGTTTTGAGAAGTTGCAGCCACACCCTTTGCTACTAGGTGCAATAAAAACCCAACAAGAAGGCATGGCATCTTCATAGATTACCATATACTGACTCGGAAAGGAGCTTAAAAACGTCCCCCAGTTGTCTGTAAATGCTGTTATTGTGATCAGCTCAGCCTTCAAGTTGCAGACAAACTCAGAAGAAAACGCTTTGCACATCAGTTTTTTGTGAATCACGGACAAAGGAGAATGATGATTGGATCCAAAAGTGCACAAAAGTCTCCTGCACACTGCTTCACATGCATCCAAAAACTATTCACAGTGTATTTAAATTAAGTTCGACTGTGAGGGAATTCATTTAACATAGATTTAAAAAACAAAATGCACAAGGTCATCTTTCTCAGTCTGAAGGATCGAGCAGGGTATTGCAGCTGCCAGAAGATCTTTATGTACCAGAATGAATGTTGTCTACCATAAGAGTTTGGCTGAGGACGGAAACTGTTCAGGGGTTCTTCCTCTCTTGGCCTCTTAGCTCGAGTAAAGTGCCAACTCAGAGCACGAGTGTGCCCTAGTGCACCAAGAGGTCCATAAGGACGTGATGAGAAAGGTTTGGTATGTAGGAAGTCAACTGGCCTGCACAGAACCCAAAGCATCACAAGTTATCACCTCAAGGAGAAAAGACGACACAAATTAGGAGCGAGGCATTTTTCTTCTTTTGGGAGAAAAAGGATCCAATAAACATTCTTAAAAACTAAATTAGTCCTTCCAGTGGAGTTGCCCCATTTCCACCATGTGGTCCCGTTTGGTTCAGCACAGTTTGGTATAGTAAACCCTGATCTTGCTAGCGTTTCCACAGCCAACCGTACACTTACACATCACTAACGCAGCTGCGCGACACAGAATAAAAAAAAAAAGATTGCTAGGAATTGCGAGGAAGGTCTGCATCTCTGAGGTTGGCAATGGGGCGGAGCTACTCGCTCACTAAAGTCGCAAAAAAACAAAAACAACCTTGAAATTACTCTTTTCAAATCCACAGGATACTTAAACATCATGTGTTTTGGGTTTGTCCTTTATGACTGCTGTCGCCCGGGAAGTGACGACTTGACACTTAACCAATCACAGGACTGCAGTGTGTCTAGCTCCGTCCTTTAGGGTCAGATCGGTATGTGGCATCCCAACAGGAGGGTACCAACAAAGTAGGACGGTAATGATCAGTTGTTTTGGTACCCTTCCCAAATTTTGACTGTGGAAACGCCAATAAATGTGAACAGAACTGAATAAGACCACTTGGTGGAAACAGGGCTTAAATAACATCATAAAAAGAGAGAGAGAGAGAGAGGGCCTACTTCATATTAATGGAAGTAATTACAGGAAAAGATGTCCAACACGCCCATGAAAGGTGTGATGGTCGGGCATCCACTGAGTTTTGGTCATACTCCATATATCAGCATATTTCTGAGATGTTGTCACCTCTAAAAGGCAGAGAGAAAGAGAGAACAGAAGATTCACCCACACGACAAGATAAAAAAGTCACATTTTACTGGCTGTTCCTTCACTGTGGCCATATCGAGCAGATATGCTTGAACTCTCTGATAAACCATAGTTTTATATTCTTGGTATGAACTTTATCCATTAGTGTAATGATTAAAGAATTGAATATGAATATTTTACAACCATTTAAAACAATGACTGCAACACTCAAAAATCAAAAAAAAAAAAAAAAAAAAAAGTTTCCTTAATTTACAACTCTTTTTTTTGCAGTTTCCCATAACAAAATTTAAAAAATATTTCATGTTTGTTTTTAAAACATTTTTACAATCTTTTTTTTCCTTTTTACAATTTTACTAAAGAATGCAGAAAATAAAATATTTAAACACTGGAGCTGGGCAGGATCACCTATATGTTTTTAGGTTAAGGTGTTAAAAAAAAAAAAAAGTATATAAAAAAATAAAGGAGAAAAATATTGAAAAGATGGCGTTGGGAGACATGACATGCACTCTCAGATCAGCCTGTACAGTCTTGATGGGGGGAGGGGGAAACCTTAAAAAGGTAGAAAAGGAGACTATGTTTTTGTTAAAAGCATTCAATTAATAAATAACATACTATAAAAACATTATAAAAAAGACAATCGGTAAGAAGACGTCAATCTTTCCTCATCATTTCAAGGTGATGATTTCCACTCAAAACAGTGACGATAGAAAATACTGCGTCCCGTCATCACATTTCATTTCAGTTCTGACAAAAGGGGGAAAAATATTTTGTACACTTTTCTGTCTTTAAAAAAAGAAAAAAAAAAAAAAATCACATTTGGAGAGCTTTTGAAGCGTCTCATTATTGCCCCTCACGTGAACTGTAGAAGAAAAAAAACTCATCAGTACATTTCTCTGCTGTAAAAAATGCTGGGTGAGAATTTTTACAATACTTAATGTAACAAGATGGATGTCAAGTAAAATCATAATGCGTCTCCTGCTCAGGGAAATCATTTGGGCAATGGCGGCAGCGGGGGAGGAGGTTCTGAAGGCAGGGGTGGGGGTCTGGAGTTGCTCCCTCTAGAGCCGCCGCTGTACCTGAAGTCCCCGTATTGGGATCTGTAGTCAAACATGGACGGCTGTGCCGGCTGGACCCCCTGCGCACTCAGAAGCGAGTTCAACATTTCAAAAGTATCCTGGTACTCGTTCGACTGAGCCCCCGCTGCGGCCCCGTGCCCGTTCGTGTCCGTCTTGTCGCCTTTGGAGTGCGGGTAGCTCCCCTGGTGGTGGGGGAGGCTCAGTGCGGGGAGAATGTCCCCACTGGGCCCCAGAGTTTGTCCAGAGGAGGAAGACAGGGACGGCAGCTGGTAGGTGTTCCTAGCGGACTTGCTGACTTTGCCAGCAGGGTGAGAGCCCGCTGTGGGGTCTTGGGAGTGCGTCCTCTTGCGCGAGGCGGACGAGGAGCCAGTCCTGTCGCTCGGGACTTTTTTGTTGCTCCCGGACGCCCCGCTGGAACCAGACGAGTGTTTGTGGGAGGAGAGCGAGGCACCGCTGGAGGAAGAATGGTGGTGGTGGTGATGATGATGGTGGTGGTGGTTGGAGCGTTCTCTGTGCTTGTCCCTGCTCTTGCCCTCCTCTCCTGAGCTGCCCCTCTGCTTCTCGGGCACTCGTATTCTCACTTTGATGTCCTGCTCCTGTCCTCGGGAGCCGGCGCTGTGCCCACCGCTTCCTCCTCCGGCGAGGGGGAGACGCATTTTCAGTGAACTCCTCTCGTGCCGCTCCTTGTCCAGAGGGATTTTTAAAATAATGGGCGACGGGTTAGACGTGTCGGAGGTGGAAGAGCTGGACTGCTGCTGCTGCTGTTGATGATGCTGCTTCTCCTTCCTCTGCTGCTGCCCGATGAGCGCCTGAGCAGCATTGGCGTAGTCCCTCTTCACGCTGGCCTCCATGTTCTCCAGCTTCCTTTTCTGGGCGGCCAGGACGTCGGCGTTCTTGGCGCGGTACTCGCTCAGCGACACCTTAGCCGGGACGTGGATCTCGTTGTTCGCCTGCAGCTGCTCGGACACGGCCGGCTGACCCTTCCCACTCCAGGTCTGAGCGCTGCCGGACGCACCTCTGTCCTTCTCCCCGCCAGAGGAAGAGGAAGAAGAAGTGGTGGGTGGAGCGGAGAGGCTCATGAGGCCCGCCACAGTGCTCTCTGATGAAGCCATAGAAATCATGCTCATCATGGCGTCCCTCTGGTCGCCGTCCTCCTGGACTTTGGGCTTGGCTTTTGGCGTCTGACCTCCAGCCTGGAAGTCATGAAAAGAAACAAACAATTAACAGAAATGCAGAACGCACAAAGTATTTGTAGATCACAAACAAGGGCACATGAACTCCAACACAGACCTGCATTAGTCTCATGTTTCACCTGTAAGATGCACATTGAAATGTCTAACCTAACATGTCTAATTAATCCAACGGAGACCAGGTGAGAAGGGCGGACACACCTGTAATAAATCATGCATGGAGATGAGACTGCGATGCTGAAACATAAATTTACTGACAAACTCTTTCTGACTTTTCAACAAAATAAGAAAACAATCAAGCACAAAAGTTAAACTGATCGATCTGAGATGTGGTCAGAAAACTGTTGCTCTCGGCAAGGCTCCCCATCAGGACTCATGATCACAGAATCCAGATCCACACAGATCAGGTAACTACAAGGTAAGTTTCAATCTCCTCATTATAAAACTAAGTTAAAGATGTTTTTCTTTCTTAATTCAAAACCTTAAATCAGGCTCCTACACACATTTATCAGAAATGTAAATAAATGCCAAATATCAAAACATTTGCAGCCAACTACTTGTGTAAATCAGTGAACTTCTTGTGATGAAAGATAGAACAGAAAACTCAAAGTACTTTTCGAGTATTTTTCGATTCTCTGATTTTTTGAAATTTTCAAAATCCAAAACAAAAAATACCAACCAGAATTTACATTTTTAGACACTTCAAATCCATTATTGCCCCTTTATCTTTTCTGAAGATTATTTACTTTTCAATATAGAGTAGTTTAATATGTACTATGCTAACCAACTGGATAACTTTAAGGTGGTTTTTAATACAGTTTAATATTATGTTTAAAGGATGAGTTGTCTGATAATATGATTCATTTAAAACCTCTACATGAACCCTTAAGTGTCATAATGAGACGGTAAAATGTACCGCCTGCCATGCTCTCTCTTCCGCCTCATTGCAGGAATAAAAGTGCTGAGATTTGATTGCTTAAAGAACAGAAATCTTTACCTTCCAGTTGCGGATCCGTTTCAACCTGCTGGGTGTTTTCTCCAAAATCTGCAGGAACTCGTGTGTGAGCTCTGGCACAAGTTAGGAGAAAAGAAAAGATCTTGTGAATTATCTATACGTTAACTGATATATGACTTTCAGGTGCTTTAAAAACCAGCCCTTCACCATGGGGAAGTATATTTGCATCACACACCATCCAGCAGCTCGAGGGTAACCGTAGGATCCACGTACTGCCACCAGTGTTTGCCGTCTGTCGACACGGGGATCTCCCAGTTGGACCATTTGCAGGCGAGGTGGATGCACACGCAGGCCACGACGGGCGGACTGTACTGCAGGCAGAACGTGGTCAAGTGCAGACTATGTGGCAGGATACGTCCCGGAAGGAAAACAAAATAAAAAACCAGAAAGAAGAGAAAAAGAGAGCAGACATTCAGTATATTGAGTTTGAGAAATAAACACAAAAAGAGGAGAAAACTTCCTGCACTCATTTACAGTTTAAGGCAGTTATAGTGAACTGTGGATATACCTGTTTGTGGCCATAAAGTATGATGTTTGAGCCAAATCCTTACTCGCTGGAACAACAATAGAACAAAAAAACACACTTAAAACCTGGGGAGTGGTAACCCGGTGTTCACAATCAAGCTCAGTATAAGTAAAAAGAGAATTTAAAGAAATGTAAATCAGTGAGTAGATGCTCACCTCTGACCAGCTGAGTGCACTTGACAACATGAGTATGTGGATGGTCAATGTGATTTCAAATGCTGTAATAGAAAAAAGGGACAAAGACAAAGATGGATAAATGAAAATGCAGGAGTCAGACGAGTTCAAAGATTTCACTGCATTCAATTTCCATGACAACGGTAGTAAAAAATAATTCTAAAGCAAAGATTATGAAGTCAAGAAGAAAACAAATACTGTTAAATCAAAGTTAATTTAAACCTGATACTGTCTTAATGCAGGTACTTCTGTTAGCACACTGTGTACTAACTTGTGTAGGGTGTGAGTTTCAACGGGTAAATGTTGTCTAAGAACAAACATGAACTTGAGACGTGGACATAGCCTCTCGGTTTCCACAAGTGAGGCTAATGCAAAGGTGCTTGAAACTTTCATCTCTGCCGTTTCCAAAGCCTGAACGTATGTAGCCTTCTTCTCAGATGACGCATTTCCCCGCTCAAATACTCCAAACAGATTTATGGTCTCTCTCTCTTGTTTTGAAGTCTCGAGCTGCATTCTAAAGTTAGCGCTCTTTAGTTAGCTCGCAGCTACACGTTGCAGGTAAATTTACACCCAATGGCCGTGATCTAAAAACACTTATGTGACGTTCAAATAAGCAGAGAGTACAGTATGTTATTCTTCTTTTCTCTAGTCCCTCACTTTAACAGCTTTTATAGGCAAGAGGAGGAGCCGGCTGGACGTCCCGTCTATGTAAACATGTTGTAAATACGTCTCAGACACCGTGACTCGCGCGCCTCACTCGTTGTAGACGGTCATGACTCAGAAATATCTGCTGAGGATTTCTGCTGTATTTATGTTGCACATTCTGCCTTTAACATGGAAGCTGTTTTTGTCACCTTCACAAAATTCAAAGCTTGTTTCTCTGTGACTCTGCGCATGTGCAATGGCAACGTTTCCTAAAACATTTAAACATCTTTCAAATCCAAAAACCTGCTTTTTTTTCTTAACTACAATAATCAGTCTGAACGCTCTTGTTAGATTGTTAAAATAGCAAATGCACGTATGGAAGACCGAGAGTTATGATAACAGGGGGACGACACTTTGCATGGGATTTTTCCAGTAACATCGTAGATGACATGAAAACTAAAAAAGAAAGTGAAACCGTTAAAAGAGTTATTTCAACACAGAACACTTTTTTTTTTTTTTTTGATTGAAAAATAATTATTATCCTCTTATCAGCTGCCTATTTCACAAAGCATGACAGCAAATTATACACAAAACAAAAGCCGCTGTTCACGATCAAAGCAGCGATTTATCAAACAGGCCTCAAAAGAATGGCTTTCAAATGTCTAGACAAGAAGAAGAAAATGTAGAAAAGTTATGGACACAACAGAGAAGAAAGCAGAAACAGTGGATGGTGCAGGCAGCTGCCAACAAGAAGCCTGGAGTTCCTTTTTCTGCACGCTGCATACGGACCTTCTGTAAACAACTGTACAACAGGGTGAGTGGTTTTTTTTTTTCGATCATCACACATACTTCTGGAGGGAAATCAACAGATCCAGTTCGTCTTTCCCAACTTACCCAAGGTCTGGAGTATTATGCTCTCAAGAATGACCAGGTCTTGGGCTTGTTGCAGGTAGGCCTGAGGTTGAAAGGACAGGCACATTACTCACTGGGTGGCCTCTATCCTTTGTCAAACATATTAGACCCTTCACTTATGAAGAGCCAACAAAGCCTCATGGATAACAAGTTAAGACGATTGGAGCAACAGTGCATTAAATAAGGGTTCACACCTCTTGGACTTTAACACATTTTACAGAGTTACAACCTAGTTGGGTTTTTTTTGGGCGGGGGGGCTTTTTACCGCTTGATTAACAAAAATGGAGTTGGGAAACAAAGCAGACATTTGCATCTTAAGGCGACCTAATCTTAGAGTTTCACAGCAAAGAAGTCAAAAAATATTGTGTGATATCGTTTGATCTCCTGCTCCAAATTGTTGACTTTAGTACCTTTAGTATCTCAAGTCAAATCTAATAAACAGTTGTGACATGATATAAATGTAAAAGTCCAAGTCAGGTGAATCAATACAAGCCATTTTAAATAGTGAAACCAGAAGCTCTCAGCATCACATTACATCTCTACACAAAAAATAAAACTGGGATGCATTTTAATCTTTCGCTCTCTTCACCAACTCACCAAGCAGCCTAAAAATGCAAGATAGCAAGAGCTCAAAATAAAAACACTAAGCCAAAATACATAAATATGAAAGTGTCTGCACTAACGCTACCAGAGATCTAATAACTTCCGGAGGCAAAGGGTGACCCCTTAACCTTAAGGTCACAGTGGGGCAAAAAAAAGGCAGCTTTACAACTTCAGGTACATCGCTGTGTCTGAATAAATAAGAGTTTTGAAGCGAGTTTCGTCCCTGTTACGCCTTTGTTATTGTGGAGATTAAATCAACACCCTGCCAGGTAAACACAACAGGTGACAGAGGAATATAACATGCGATTTTTAACCCGTCAGCACGACACTTACATCGCTGCGTACATCTGGAGAAGGATCCTGAGGATTGAGACATGCATGAGCCACCTTGATAACATGTTCCAGCTTCCTCGGCTGCTCCTCAACCTTTGCAGCCAGGAAGAGAGCAGCTGGAGAAATAACCTGCAGAGGTCCACAAATAAAGAGTCAACTGATAATCTCATGTTAGTGACTTGAGATTAAGAGTGTAAAATAAACTGTACTTACATTTCTGTGGAATCTGGTGAATGACTGGACCATGTAGAAACGATGCATGTACACAATGGCTGTATTTATAGTGAGTTGGGACCTGATGCAGGTCAGTTAAGGACAAAGCAGCAACAACACATCACAAACAAGGGTTCCTGAATATGATTAAAGCCTCTGTGTGAAATAAAATATAAATAAAGTGCCTTAGTTAACTTAGAAAAGGTGTGCAAGTTATTATCACAACAAAACAACAAAGTGTAAACTCAAGTTAGCCTCACACGTCAGAGCCAGAGGTGAGCCGGAAGCTGTGATTTTACAGAAAACACGCGTTAAGTGTTAATCTGAAGATTAAAAGTGTACACGACTTAATAAAAAAACACAATTTGAACACACTGTTAATAACACAGCTGCGCTCTGTGCCGCTCTCAGGAGCTATTTACAGTAACACATGCTAATGCTAATGCTAACGTCCCGAAGGCCCCGCAGGCCCCGGGATGGAGCTCTGCGCCGCTGTCGGGACATCGTCACCGTAGGGGAGAGTAACAAAAACATACAAGACACCGTGAATGCGGAGACATAAAAAAGCAAAATGAAAACGACCTCGAAGTCGAAACACTCAACCTGGTGAAGTGCGGACCGGCTGCACACGGAGCTAACCCGGGCTAGCTCGCATGCTAACGCGGTGCTCGGCGTTTCGTCCCCTGACAAAAGATACACATTGAGCCGCTGTCCCATGTCCTGCAGCAGGTTGGCCGCCTGTTGTCTGTAGGACAGTTCTTTGTCCGGATCAAGTCCAGCTCGCCGAGATGGGCTGTTGTCGATCTGTTGTCGGTTGTAGTACCATTTGTTGTTACAGCTTGCAGGGAGAGAACGAAACGAAGCCGCCATCACTGAGAAGGACGATAGTTTAAAATTTCTGCGCGTCACAGGAACCTACGTCACACCCATAGTGTAGCAGCGGGGGGGTGCGATACCCGAGATGGCCACCAGGGGTCACTAAAAACAAACCTCCACATTGATCAGGTGTTATGACGAGAAAATAGAACAGAATAGAATATCTTTATTGTACAACGAAATTATTTGGCTTCACCTTAAAGTGCACACACATGCAAGCATCCACAGCTAAAAACAACAAAAGAAGGAACTCTCATTCAGGTAAGATGGGCAATGTATGGTAGGAGTTATTTACAGGTAGTAGCATAACAGAAAATAAATAGATATTGCAGAAATATAAAATAAATATTGCAAAGTATGAGATGTAAATATTGCAGAAATATAAAATAAATATTGCACAGTATGAGATGTAAAATATTGCAGAAATATAGAATAAATATTGCACAGTATGAAATGTAAATATTGCAGAAATTTAAAATAAAATAAATATTGCACAGTATGAAATGTAAATATTGCAGAAATTTAAAATAAAATAAATATTGCACAGTATGAAATGTAAAATTATTGCAGAAATATAAAATAAAATAAATATTGCACAGTATGAAATGTAAAATATTGCAGAAATATAAAATAAGATAAATATTGCACAGTATGAAATGTAAATATTGCAGAAATTTAAAATAAAATAAATATTGCACAGTATGAAATGTAAAATATTGCAGAAATATAAAATAAGATAAATATTGCACAGTATGAAATGTAAATATTGCAGAAATTTAAAATAAAAAAAATATTGCACAGTATGAAATGTAAATATTGCAGAAATTTAAAATAAAAAAAATATTGCACAGTATGAAATGTAAAATGATTGCAGAAATATAAAATAAGATAAATATTGCACAGTATGAAATGTAAAATATTGCAGAAATATAAAATAAATATTGCACAGTATGAGATGTAAGATATTGCAGAAATATAAAATACATATTGCACAGTATGAAATGTAAGATATTGCAGAAATATAAAATAATATTGCACAGTATGAAATGTAAATATTGCAGAAATATAAAATACATATTGCACAGTATGAAGATGTAAGATATTGCAGAAATATAAAATAAATATTGCACAGTATGTGTGGTGAGGGTGGGACGGTCAACGCATGGCAAAGCATCCCTGCCAGAAGATTGCATGCACCTCGTGGAAGTGTTAGAAATGATTAGTTATTTCTTGGGGGCAGATCTGCGATGACAAAGGATGTGAAGTTTATTCTAAATCAATAAAATGTGCAATAATTACCCAATTGCTGCTAACTGTTCAATATTACTTGTGCAATAACTTTGTAACTCACTGCTTTATAATTGTCCATTTATTTACTCAGTCACTGCACTTTAACTTTAACTGTCTATTTATTTATTCACTCATCGAGTCACTGCACAATAATAACTGTATATACTCTTTCACTGCACTATAACTTCACTTATTTGCACTATATCTCTATATTTATATTTGTTTAATTAATCAGTCACTGCAAAATAATAACTGTATATATTCTTTTAGTCACCACAACTGTCTATTTATTTATTATTATTATCATTCATTCACTGAACAGCAATTGCTCTGGCCACGTTTTGCATACTTCTCTGTCATATCACCACAAATATATTTTTGTTGTTGTTGTTTTTTTTGTAAACGCTTCTGTTTAAGATTGCTGCTAAAAAGTTTCGTTGTGTCCTTGTATACAATGATAATAAAGATTCTATCTATCTGTCTATCTAATAAAAGTGTCCTTATTTTTTGTAGATTTTATATCATAATAATAATAAACTTTACATGTAAAGCACAGGGTAACAAAGTGCTTCACAAAATGATAATAAAATAAAAGAACTGTGAGGAAGACAATGATTACAATTAAAAACAAAACAGTGGTAGATTATACAACAGTATTTCCACATTTACATCAGCATGCGTAAATATGGCCGGAAAATTGTGTTTGACTCTGAAGTGTCTGTAAAGTACATTTAAGGGTTAAGGCAAACTTTGTGTAGCAGTGTAGAAATTGTGTCTGCCATAATTTGTGCAGCGAGGTGTTTTAGCTTTGCCAGTTGTTGTGATTGTCTGCAGGGATGCATTTCTCGTCATAACACCGACATATGACTGTTCTCAAAATAATAGGCATGATGGGTTTCCCTCTGGAAAATGTCCCTAAACGCACCTTCAAGTAGAAACATGAACGAAGGACAGTAAACGTTGTAAGCGACTGCCTGAAGCCAGATGAACTGGTTTGACCCTCTTTTCCCACCGTACACCACCAGAGGTCTCCCAGGACGAACAAATGTTTAATCCTCCCTTCATTGGTTTTTAATTCATTAATCTTTTAATCGATTACTACTCCTTCATCTGATGTCCTGCTCTAACCTTCCTTCATTGCTTTCTACTAATTTCTTTTATTCATCTGTTTTTACCTTTATTTTGTTTGTTTTTTCTTTAATGTGATGTCGTCTTCTTATAATTTGTAAATCTTAGTCATTTTTTCTGCTTTTATTCTTAGATTCATTTCTTCAGTTGCATTTATTTTACTTTTCAGACATTTTCAGACCTGTTGTTTCTATTTAATCCTCTATTTGCAATTACTCTGTCTTTTGTTTCTCTCTGTTGGCCTGACTAGTGATGCTTTCTTTGTTTGTCAAAGCACTATATAAACATCTCATTTTAAAGGTGCTATATAAATAAAGTTGCGCACTAAGGTGTGTCATTTTTAAAATATGTTTTTGATAGGAGTCTTTAAAGAGTTTAATGTCAAAGCTCTAAAGACTTTCAGAGTTTATTTTGATTTTTGTTTTAAAAAATAACTGATCTTCAATCATGATTTCAATCTTCTTGCAATAATCCTCAGAAAATTCCAACATTTCAAATAAAAAGTGTTAAACTTCAAATGTTTGTTGTGTCTCTTGTTTTCTCAAGCCGACATCACAATGATCTACAGGAAACAAAAAAATAAATACAAAAATAAGACAATGCAGATATGAAAAATTTGAAAACAATTTATTATTTAAATCACAAAAAGGTTATAAAATGGATTGAAAACTGAAGCGGTGTTCGAATGATGCACTTAAAAGAGAAGAACAGGCCGTCTGACCACCAACAGTACAATTAAACACACGCAAGCTCAAACCATTCAACCAGAGATCGTAAGAACAAACGTTTAATATCGTTAAATCAAAAAAACTGAAATACAAAATGGACTCCTCTCTTCAAACTTGAAGACATTTTTAATCCAGTTTAATCTAGAAGTTGTTACTCGGCCCTTATTCTGATTTATTACACATTTTCTGTTTCCACGGCCCAAAGTTTCACTTCTCCTGACTGTACGTTTGATGATTAGGACTTTTTTAGATGCTGCGTTTAGATCAGAGCGGATTAAACAATAACGACTCTCCCCTGAAAACAAGCGATCCACTGCTTCACTGCTTCGTTATTGAACAGTCTATTCAAAGTTACACACTCAAACGAAGCAGAACCATCACCTAAGCTTTTCATCTTCTGTCTGATTCGGGTTATTTCAGGTGGTTTGAAGTTTTATTTTCTTTAGATGACACAGACGTTAATCAGCGGAGACGAAACAGAAGGTTTTTTTCCCGTGAAGCAGCAGCTGTTTGACGTACGACTGACTGACTGCAGCTTTGATGTGATGAAGACTACGTTTAGGAAACAACAACAAAGAAGTGACAGAAATAAAAACTTAACTAAACATGCTTCGGAGGCTACAGAGGATCTGGAAAACAAAGCTCCATTCACTGATGAATAAGATGCTTTAGCAGGGATCGTCTAATTCACACCTTTTTCTAAAAGCTGTTCAAATGATCGGACACACCATCTATTCATCTTTGTGTTTAATTGTACCTTTGATTTACAGAGTCAGTACAAATAAGTGACACGTGAAGTCTTCGGGAACGTCTGTTGTGCAGCCATAAAAACGCTTTACAAAAAAAACAACAACAAAAAAAGAAGAAGAAGAAAAAAAAAAAAACCCTGAAACTTCATTCAAACATTTCCAAATCTCTCGGCACGCTTCAGTTTCTTCGCCTGCGGAGAAAGACACAAACACATAAAAACATTTAAGATGAGATAATACACGTTGTTGATCTCCAGAGGGGAACGTCGAGCGTTACAGCCGCACCAAGACAAGAAGCAAGTATGTGTACAGAATACACAAGATAAATATTAACAGGAATAAGAGTGAACTACACAGGACAGTAAAGACATTTATAAGCAGCTAAAGACACTGTGGGGAAATATGAGAAGAAATATTAGCTTCAAGTGCTGGGAATCTTTGGGTGACTCACTTCTTGGGGTCACGACTCGATTCAGAATCTATTTTAAATTCAAAATGATTCTGGATTCAAAGTCTATTATTGAATGAGGACATACTCGAAGATCTACTCCAGTCATCTGTGAGACCGGCTGAATGTCTTGCTGCTCCATTTGTCTTTCTACTGAGTTAAAGAGCTAGCATTAGCACTTAGCAGGGAGTGACTGATTAGCATAAACACAAACAGACTTTTGGAACTAATGAATCGATTTAAAATCTCAGAAGATAAGAATCTCAATTTTTACATATTTTTTTTCCCCCATCTCTAGAAGCTATGGGGAATAAACCCACCTCGACATCAGGAGCTCCGGCTGCAGCTGGAGTTGCTGCGGCTCCAAACCTCTCCTTCCTCTTTTTCAGCTTTTCATCATCCTCGATCTGGAACAACGACAACACGTCAGTGTCACTGTGATGCCAGAATTAGACTCAAAAAGGGGCAGAAATATAGATCCAGGCAGAAAACAAACATAAGGGTGCATAGTGCACAACATGAATCTCTTTTCACACCTTTATCAGAGAGAGAGAGAGAGGACAGTGGATAGAGTCTGAAACCAGAAAGCAGGGGATTGGGGAATGACAAACAGCAAAGGAGCAGAGTGGGATTTTAAGGCACGACTTCCCGACTATCAAGGGGGATGAAGAGGTGAAAAATCTCCAGCAACACTCGTAGTATGAAGATCAACTTTATTAACAAATTAGACCAACGCATTTCGGCTTGTGGCCTTCGTCAGGGTCATCTGAAATTAACTAAATCTGGTTGGAGGGGACGTCACTCATTTAGACCGTCATCCACCGTCGCTCTAATTTGTTAATAAAGTCGACCTTCATACTAAAAGTGTTGCTGGAGCCTTTTCACCTCTTCACACAGCGAAGGAGCCAAAGGTCAGACTCCAACCCGGGCTGCCCCCTATGAGTTATGTATCCTCTGTACATGGGGCGTGCAAACTAACCGCTTGACCACCGGCGTCCCACAACGTGAATTTCACAAGTGCAAGAAAAAAGGGTTACCTTCTGTGAAACGGATGAGACGTTCATGCCAAATCGTTCGGCTCTCTTCTTCAGCTGATCAACATTCACCTTCATAGAACAGAAAACAATCGATCACTCATCATCATCTTGAAGCTGGACGCAGAGTAATGAGGACTTCAGTCAGGAAGATGAATAAACTCAGAGCACAAAGACTTACAGGAGCAGCTTTACTGTTGGCGACGGGACCTGTTTGGACCACAGAGGGATTAAAGTGTTAGAGGCAGCTGATAGAAAACACACCTTTGACCTTTAGAGAGCGACAGGTCTCTCAAATTAAATTAAAAAAACATTATGCAAAAAAAATATCAATTCAAAAACTAGAGCTCAGAACTATTATTTTATTTTCTTCAAACTTTATTTAAAAAGGAGTATAAGTGAAATACTAAATCTTGATGAGACTGGTAAAATGGGGTAGAGTCGGGTTGAAAATATCGCCGTTTGCATTCACACATGCAGCTCACCGTGAACATTTCTGGACATTTTTTTTACGACTTTTGTGTACAGTGTGTGTGAAGACAGAAAAAAGCCCCAAAGGTTAAAAGGTCTCTTGCCCGTCACTTGAGACTAAGAATAAATATTTTATGATTTGTCATCCAGACTTTTGTTTTTTAGAATATATTTACAGCCTGACGTCAAAGGACAGGAGTGATTTATTTCAGGGGACAAACTCATTTTCACATCAGTTTTCAACATTCAACTCACCTGAGGACGGAGTGGACTCATCGGATGAGCCGAACCTGAGGATAAGAAGGGGCATCATTAGTTCAACATCAACTTTGAAATAATCACAAACTTTAAATACAATTTCTCATTTTATTCTGTTCGGTTTAAACATTTAAAAAAAGCTACAAATTAAAAGTAAAGAAAGTACAAAATGTGTTTGTGTGTAAGGTGCTGTCTTCCTATCTTGACCTCGACTCTGTCATAAAGGTTTTAACTGAATGGACAAATTAAAAATAAAAATACACATGCTTTCTGTAAACACTGAAGTAAATGGACTTTCCTTTAAAAAGGTAGAGAGAGACTCAAATTTGATTTACTGAATGTTTTCTTTCCTTTTCAGTGTAAACTCTCAATAACATGTTTCCCATGTTTTTACTGGAACCAACGTGCTTTAATCTGGAATTTAAGAAGTCCCTATAAAAAGATATGAGTTTTTTTTGCGCGGTTTGTTTCACACTTTTATTCTCGACTCTCACCCAGAGGAGGGGGTGAATTATTTCTCTGTTTCTGTTGAACAAGTCCGGCTGAGTTTCTTAAATAAAATGCTAACCTCATGTCGTTATTCTCCACATGATGGTGCAACGTTTTTAAATTGTTTCCTACAGGAAACTGTCACTTAGAGAAGATGGGTGGTAAATCATAAAGTCTTACCTTGCAGCGCGTATGGCCTTTTTGCTCTCAGCTGTTGCGGGTAGGTTGAATCGTTGAGCTCTCTGCTGTAGTCTCTGTTTAACAAAAGTTTGAATTAAACCTCAGAGCACATGATTAGGAGCTTTTGATGATTTATGAGTGGATGCAGGCGAGTCATACGTACTTCAGTGGCAGTTGATGGAGGCGTTATTTTCACCACCTTCTTCTCTTCAGGTCTGAAAGAAAAATATGTTAATGACAGATTAAATATCTGTAAAAATCAATGTGGGACATTTCAGCATCAAATCTGGTGACGTCCACAACACACCAAGTGGTAAGAAATAAGCCGCAAAGTCTTGGCCTCGAGGATGAGTTTCAGGCGGTGGTTTACAGCGTGGACATGAGAACGATACTTCCCCCAAATTAAATAAACAAACATGATGACATTTTGGGAATTAAACTTAAGATTGGCAGATATTCAAGTTTTGCAGCAGTAAGAAGAAGAAGAAGAGCATGCATATTAGTGCAAATAAAATGTCTAGCTCAGCATAAGCAGGGAAAAACTGCAAGCCAGGCTTCTTTTATACTTTGACATTTGAGCCAATCAGTCGCCCCAAAGCGAACTCGTGTTATTTGGTGTTTGTTTAAATAGCGTGCGAACTGTACGACAATGAACTCACGGCTCGCTCTCAGACTCCTCAGAATCCTTGATGACTTTCACGTTGTTGGCACTCTCAACTTTTGTGAAGTCCTGAAAGGAAAAACGTAAACATTAAGCTCTTCTTTGTGGTTTGCTGTGATGAGATCCGAGACTGAAGACAAAGCGAATTAAACATTACCTCTGTGTCCTCTGCCAGAACATCATCAACATCCACGTCTTCTTCTGTGGTGGAATGAGGAGAATTCAAACAAGACATGAAAACACAAACAAGGCGAGCTTGCAGCATCTTTTATCAGAACTTGATCGATGCAGAGACGGGAGTAATTTAAGTGTTTGGCCTCACCATGCTCTTCCAGATAGGCCTGCAGCCGGGCGATGAGTTCTCCTTTGTTTCCCTTGGTGTCCAGACCTCGGGCCTCGCACTCCTGCCTCAGCTCGGCAAGCTGAAACAACAAGACAGAAACTTTTACTACAAAAGCTAATAAATTAATTGACACAAATTGTGTCAATACATAGTAGTCCAAGGGAAGTCTGTGGATTATTCACAGTTCACAACCATCAGCATCAGAGTTTTTTCCGTCAGCCTGAAGATGCCGCTCACATTTTAGAATAAATCTTTGCAGCATTATTCCTTTTTTTTTTTTAAAGACACAGCAGCCTCTTTGTATTTTAACTACTGACAAACTTTGAACTGTACTGACTTTATCAAAGTCAAAGTCAACTTTATTGTCAATATCAAAATATGCCAGACATACAGTGGAATTGAAATTGCGTTTGTCTCCATCCCGCGGTGCAATACAACCAAAATAAGGTAAAATAAGATAAATAATATTACAGTAATAAATTCTAATTTGTGCAAAGGTACAAAACAAAATGGTAAATAAAATAAAACAAAATGGTGAATAAAATAAAATAAAATGGTAAATAAAATAAAATGGTAAATAAAATGGTAAATAAAATAAAATAAATGGTAAATAAAACAAAATAAAATGGTGAATAAAATAAAATAAAATGGTAAATAAAATAAAATGGTAAATAAAATAAAATAAAATAAAATGGTAAATAAAATAAAATAAACACATTCGATTCATTTAATTCCTGTATTTATATTTTATTGTGCTTTTTTATGATTGATGATGTGGTCCTATGGATCTGAAAAAAAAAGTATAACGTAAATAAACATTTTGTTTGCAAAGAGAAGCTTCTCTAAATATATTAAAATCCGGAAGTGGATAAATTAAATTAAATTAAATTCCCGGTGTGTGTTTTTCGGCGCTAACATGAGTTTAAAGGAGGATGTAGATCAAACAGGCTAAAACAAATAAAACACACTGTACCAAACAGTATGAGCTTTCTTTTAGAGCTCAAACTGAACCGTATTTTATCCTAAAGTTAGTATTTTAACTTTAAATCTCTTTTTTTATCTCCGTTGAATGAACAACGTGAACACCCGGAGCTTCACACCTGGCGGACACATTTCATCAATCAACCCGTTCAGTTGTCCGTTCACCTGCTCTGCGCTTTGGCGGTAACCATAACGACCGTTGCTAAGTTATTTCTACTCGTAAGTGCGTCTAAATGTGCGCATTAAAAGCATATTTAAGGAACCACAAACCTTCAGTTTCTGTAGCTCTATTACTTCGGCCATCTTTCGTCGTCGTTTTAGCACTTCCGGTAATCAAAGGGTAGCGGATCTCCACTGCTGAATGATGTTATTTCACAGCGCCGCCCGGTGGACACTTTGTGGTACTGCAGGAGGAAAGAGCGACACACTGCACCCAACAGGAGGTAGAATTTTTGGACCGTGGACTTCTGGTTAAAAAGTGCAGCTCTGTTTCTACCATAGACTGTAAAAATAATTAAAAATAAATATAATACATATATATATATATATATATATATATATATATATATGTTTTTATTTATTTATTTTATTAATTATTTTAGACTGTAAAAATAATTTAAAAATAAATATAATAAATATATATATTTATTTTATTTTATTTTTTAAATGTTTTAATTAATTATTTTACACTGTAAAAATAATTAAAAAATAAATATATATATATATATATATATTTTTTTTTTTTAAATTATTTTTACAGTCTATGGTAGAAATAGAGCTGCACTTTTTAACCACCTGTCCACGGTATGAGGACATCAGAGACGATTGCTTCCCTCTCATCACAAACACGCAAAAGTTAGTTGAACTTGATGAACAACGACCAGAAACTTGTGTAACCTGCTGGGTGAGGTATACGTCAATGTGCAAACACACTACCTGTGAGCTGTTGTGACTGGAAGAGAGCTCTAAACCACCATGAACAATTCAGTCTAACCATCTGTGTATGACTGCAACATCATCTACAAAACTTATCTCTGTACACACAAACAATAGAGCTGTTAATATAGTTTACTTAAAAAAAAGAAGAAGATCTATTATTGGGTTAGAATGCCTTTATTAAGAGATATGACAGTGGATTATTGCAACTCTCTACTGGCAGGTCTTCCTACATGCACTATCAAACCTCTGCAAATGATACAAAATGCAGCAGCACGACTGGTCTTCAACCTTCCTAAAAGAGCACATGTCACTCTGCTGTTCATCTCCTCACACTGGCTCCCAGTTACTGCTCGCATCAAATTTAAAACTCTCCTGCTCGCTTACAAAACAGCGACAAAAACAGCTCCTCCTTTAACTCTCTGATCCAGGTTTACACTCCCTCCTGCCCACTACGCTCTGCCAATGAAAGGCGTCTGATCCAACCTTCACACCAGGCTCCTAAGTCTCTGACTAGACTCTTCTCCTCTGTCGCCCCCCGGTGGTGGAATGAACTTCCAAACGCCATACAATCTGCAGAGTCTCTCTGCACCTTTAAGAAAAAGCTAAAGACCCAGCTCTTTCATGAATACCTACTAACTTAATGATGATGGTCTCCATATTATTGATGATGATGATGGTAATGATGATGGTTTCTGTTTGATAACGAGGACTTATAAGATGGTTTCTATACTGATTAGAGCTCTCAAGAACTGCCCTCAATGTTGTGCTTTGCCTCTGGTCACTTCCTGTCAGCACCTGTGTGTCCAATCAGACTCAAAGCTGATCGTTTGCTCTTACTGACATTGTTCCCTTTTTTCTAGATCCTTCCTTGTGTTGTTCTTACTCTCTGATGTACGTCGCTTTGGATAAAAGCGTCTGCTAAGTGAATTGTAGAATATAGTCAGAAATCAAGGAGAGAGAGAGAGTGGGGAATTAAATGCGGGAAAGGAGCCACAGGTTGGACCCGAACCCGGGCCTCTATTCTTCTCCTTCTTGCATCTCCCTGTATCACTCTTTTCAAGCCCCCTGGTTCTTATCGAGGTTTCTGTCTCTTAAAGGAAGTTTTTTCTTGCCACTGTAACCTCTGTTGTCATGTAACACTAATAAATGGCAAGGTACGCGAGGAGGTAGTGTAATGCTAACGCTAGCTGTTGTCTAACAAAATCTGATAAATATCAAATATCTTGTTTTATCTTTAAATAAGACCCTTTACTTCAGATTTTAACAACTGTCTTTTAAGTAGCTGATCAACTTGGGAAATAAATGTAGATATTGTCGAATTAGCTGCATTTATAAACACGATTAGCATCCAGAACAACGTAACAGTATCTTAGCTTTCCAACTAGAGAGGAAAATTAAACAATTAATAAAATATTGTTCTGTTTAAATAAACTCAAAACTAAGGGGTATGGTTAGCCTACTGTTTTGTTAAACTTCTACTTTTAAATTAGTAACTAGTCAATTTTAAGTTGTTAATCCGTTTGGTACATTTACAGAGCTGGGCTAGCTTAGCATCCTGTGTTTATGCTAAGCTAAGCTAACAGTCTCCAGGCTTTTCTTTCATATAAAACATGGTTAATGAGATGTGAGCATTGCAGCAAACATCTTAAATAACTCTTAGCAACACTCCAATAATTTCATGAAATGTATTTATTGATTTTTTTTAGCTGCGTTTGCTTTCAGTAACTTTTTAAAATCTGGTTTATTACGACATTTTCTGCTGCATCAGTCTTTTTTTAAAAACTGTACTGAGTGCATTCATTTTACTTCGATGCTTACACTTCTACTTTCTCTGTTGTTCACTCGTGTGGAGGTCTGAAAGGAGTGAAAGGGTCCACGGTGACCACAAGATGAAACAGGTTTTAAGGGGGATTTGCTGTGAATGCTGACATTGTTTAAAAAAAAAGAGGTTTAACTAGTGTCACATTTCGGCATATGATAAGGAGACAAAAAATGTTTTAACAAAGTCACTTTATAGTTCTCGGGGTACAAAGACAAAGCCGGATGAATTTAGGGAGTCACAAGCATTTCAATAATCCTCATTATCGTTGCATTCCTCTTTTTTTCCTGCGAGCACGGCCTCTCCTGGCAGCCGGAGTGACCCCTGATAACGACACAGAAATGTAAAACTCTTATTTACAGTTAAATGTTTTTATCATTATTACAGCAGCAAATTCAGCACGACCATTTAGAGGTAACTTTCCTGAGACAAATAAAAAGCTGTTTTTCATGATGCAGATTGACTCAGAGAGATTTTCATCAGTAACAGCATCAATTTCTGAGTAAATCCGCACCGAGTCACGAATAATTAGACGTGCTGCCAAAAAATGAGTCAGATGACCGAAGCAGAGCTTTCAGTAACGACTCATATTGTATCTGAGAGCACATGCTTTGAGGAAACGACTCCAAACTCAACAGCACCCTCATGATCTAGAACAGATTCTATTGTTTTATATCTTTAAAAAAACATTTTTACACATTTTTATTTTTTATTATAATCACAGAGGCTTAAAATATCATCAAGTTATTTACACAGCACCTGTCACTTTTTTTTTTACTACAATTCATGTATCAGACACTTTTATCCAAAGCGACAAAAATCAGAGAGTAAATAAAACACAATCAAGGAGAAAACAACGTCAGGAAGTGTAAACAAACAGCTTTAAGTCCGATCAGACACACAGCAGGTGCTGACAGGAAGTGACCAGAGGCAAAGCACGACATCGACACCTGACTTTATTGTGTATTATATTAAATTATTTAACTGTTTTCTTATGAACATTTGTATACTTGTATACTGGCAGGATTAGTATTTTGTATATTTCCATATTTAACTGATATTAGGCATTGACAGGTTTGCTACCAAATACAGGAGCGGAGTCAAGCATTGATTATTTCAACCCGCTCTTTTTTTCTTCTTTTATTTTAAAGGTTTATTTTTTGGGCTTTTTATGGTTTTATGTAGAGGCAGGGCAGTGGACAGAGTCAGGAACCAGGGAGCGAGAGAGAGGAATGACCGTTCTGTGTCGGAAGGTTTCCTGGCATTTCTTGTTTATTTCTACTAAAGTATAAATGCAAGAGTTTCATTCATAACAGAGCACTTTAATGATCTTGTAATTCTCCTCATATGTAAGGAAATACATTTTTGTGTTGGAAGAGGGATGCAAGTTGTTGCAGTAGTTAGCGCTGTTGCCTCCCAGTGAATCCCCAAAAGGACAGGAACATGCAGACTCTCTGTGTGGTGTCTGCATGTTCTCCCCGTGCATGTGTGGGTTCTCTCCAGGTACTCCAGCTTCCTCCCACAGTCCAAAGACATGCTCGTTAGGTTAACTGCTGACTCTAAATTGCCCATAGCGGTGAATTTGACTGGTTGTCTGTCTCTATATGTCAGCCCTGTGATTGACAGGCGACCAGTCCAGGGTGTACCCTGCCTCTCGCCCAATGGCAGCTCGGAATCATCTCCAGCCCCCCCACGGCCCGAACAGGAAAAACGGAATAGATAATGGATGGATGGTGCTGGAAGAAGTACACATTTTTTTTAAGTACAAGTCACCTCAGTGAGACTCATTCAGTATTGTACTTCTAATGAACGACTTCAGTAAAGATTTGTCTGCAGGACTTTTACCTGTAACAGCATCATGTCTGATGAACAGCCCGAAACGTCACATGTGGTGATAAGTTCCATTAAATGTGGATTCAAGAGGGCGCGCTGGTGGCACAATGGTTAGAGTGAGCGTCCCATGTATTGAGACTCTCGTCTCGAGCGGTAGGCCTGGGTTTGCTTCCACCCATGGCCCCTTTCTGCATGTCATCTCCCTGGTTTCCGACTCTGTCCACTGTCCACTCTCTGCATTAAAGGCACAAAAAGCCCAAAATAAATCTTTAAAAAAGTGGATTCGAGGAGGTGCCAGTGGCCTAGTGCTTAGTTTGCACACCCCATGTACAGAGGCTGTTGTCCTTGAAGTGGGCGGCTTAGGTTCAAATCTGACCTGTGGCTCCCTTCCTGCAGGTCATTCCTCACTCTCTCTCTCTCCTTAACTCTATCCACAGTCCTGTATCTAATTGAAGGCATGAAAAGCCCAAAAATAAATCTTCAGAAAATAAAGAAACTAAGTATTCCTTTGTTCAACGTGCTGTTTCAGTGAAATTAAGAACTATGACGTGCATAATGGGCCTGCAGTGTCCTTAACTCAACAAGTCATGATCGTTATAATATATCGTTTGAGGACATTTTCATTTGACGTCTATCCTGTCGACGTCTTTGTTCAATATCTGATGTGTTCGCCAATCATGGTCTGCACATTAATGCTCTCTAAACACCCCTCCCGCCCCCTGCTTCTTTACATTATGTGCATTTAACTATATGTGCATGTATTGTCAAAATCGTTGTGTAATATGTGC